CTACAGATATCATTCCAATATAGCCTACCAACTGCATCTTCTGAGCCTTCTTCCTAGCAATGGCCAATAGCTTAGCCTTGTCAATACGTCCTCTTCTATGACGACCCCCACCACCTCCTCTTCTCCTTCCTCCTGCTTCCATTTTACGTCTTGGTGATCTACTACGACTTCTACTCTTACTGCGGCTGGAAGTGCGGCTACGACTTCTACTACGAGAAGAGGATTTAGATCGCGATCGACGGGACCTTTAACCTCGTAAATTATTACAAACGACAAAGGAAGATTTTCTGATTGCACACCTGTATCGACCACTGCTACGACTTCGGCTTCTGCTGCGAGATTTTGATTGGGACCTTGATCTTCGACGACGTTTATCCCGTACCGGACTTTTGCTCACTGATTTCGAATATCGTCGGCGAGATCTCGATCTTGAACGGCGTTCACTAGATAAGAATGCTCATGAAACGACATAGTTGACTCGAAATATAGCAACTTGCTGAGAAAAGGTTTCATCATTCTTGCTATGAAACCATTTTAGATTAATGAGTTGGCGCTTACGATATGCAATAGCTCAAACCACTGCCGACAAAAAAATTATGTTCAGGCGATCAGAAACGTATGTCCACGAAAAAGCCGTAATATGGGAGATGCAAGCGACATTGAAAGAGATGGCTCAAACGGATTTATTTAGGCTTAAACGCATAGTCTCCAGCATGTAAATTTTACCTAACTCGATTGCGGGAGATAACTTCGATTATCTTACATGTTAAAACCGCTTCACTCACCGCTCATCTCGCCGACGTCCGCGTGGACGGTATGGTGATGTCCTTCTTACAACCTTATTCGTACGCCTGAATAGAGAAAATTCACGTATTAAAGAAAAGATATTTGGTCGATATTTAGACCAAAAAAAGAAGTAGGATAACACTAACGCAGTTCTTGCTTTTATTCTCAACTCTTCATCTGTATCCGGACTAGAGCTACGTTTACGCGGTGATCTACGTCGTTTTCGTTGAATCGATTCTTTGGATACTGAAATAACCGGATGAGCTTCGTGTGAACTGTGGATTCCTATTGATAAAACTATAGAACGAGTTTACCAGTTTTAGAAATCACAGCAGACGAACTCTCAACAACTTTCGCTAGCCTAGTGCTCTTTAGTGCCGTCTGCAAAGAGAATGACGATTGTTTAGACTAAGTTACCAGCCTAAGAATGAAAATACCTTCGGCTGAGCAGCAGCATTGATTTCCTCAGCTATTTCTTTCTCCAGTTCTCCATCACTGATAGGTTCTGGAGCTGGAGCAGAGTTAGCGACTCCAGATGAGCTGGCGGTTGGGACTTCTAAAGGTGGGAGTGAAGCTGGCCCAAACTCTGTCTCTTTTTCTGCTTCATCGGCTGAGATATCCATTAAACTGTAAAGCAGACAATGTAAGAATGATATAGAATGAAGCGAATCAAAACATGCACCTTTCGTCTTTGAGGCTGACTAGAGGTTTCAAATCGACCTCGTTGGCACTTCCCTCACCCTTGGTGTGATTTTGACCAGAAGTACATTCAGTTGCCGAGGTTTTCACTTTCAAATTGCGAGGAATAAAATCTCCTCGCCCTTTTTCAGCGATTACCTGAATTGAAAGCATATGAAGTCCCTAATTTGGAACGAGCATGCCTGAGTCACCACATCGAAGAAATTACCTTGTTTAGAACGTCTGACTCTCGCTTTCCAAGTTGTGTGGGCCCCTCATCATCCAAATCCTTTTTGATCTCTTTGGACAATGGAAAAGCATGAGAAGATCGCGGTTTGGCTAACGGAGGAGCGACTGGCAAGGCTGCTGTAAAATGAGGTGCTGAGAAAGGTATAAGTAAGTGGACCGAAAACGGACCTAAGTCTAACGAAATACCGATTTTGCTGGAGATGTTGATCTTCTTTTTAGCTTCTTTCATTACAGTGCGGAAGTCAGCACCAACTGGTAGGTCGTCATCATCGTCAGAAATCTGTACGGAAAATATCATTTTCGAACAAAGATATTCTGAGCTTTCAAAGGTGCCATTACAAAGGTATACGAGAAAAGATGCTCACCGCACGAAAAGACGATTTTTCTGGAAAAGAAGGACTCCTCTCGGGTGTTCGAATAGGTATCAAGTCCGGCTCCTTTTTCACGAGCGCTTTCTTTTCTTCATCAATATCGGATTTAAGCGGTGTTGGTGTTCGCGATGGAGTCCTGCTCCTCGATGGAGACTTCGTCTTCGATCTTGATCTATGCTTCGACCTAGAAAAGATAAGATAAAGGTCTGTAAGAGGAAGCCAATTTCTAAAAAATAATTTCCACCTTTTTTTATGCTTCTTTTTGGAAGAGGGAGAACGTGACCGTGATCGTTTTCGTGAACCACTATGGTCGCGTTTTGAATGGTGCTTCTTTTTCTTCTTTTTCGACTTCTTATGCTTATGCTCCTTCGACTTCTTCTTCTCCTTATCCTTTTTCTTCTGAGCGGCTAAATCCTCAACGGAGAATGGCTAAAAGATGAGAATCGAGTTGGATCCATTTTCAAGAAAAAGAAAAAATTGGAAGTTTTTGTAACCTAAAAGTTTCTACAGATATCCATCATAGAACGAATCATGTCTAACAGGTATTTTCAAACAAACTAAGAAAGAAAAAA